ACACACTAAACACACACACACACACACACACACACACACACACACCCAACACGCTTCACTTTTAGACTGGAATCAAGCATGAGAAATTTCAATCCAAAGAACAATTTCCCCAGAAAGTTAAAAGTGCTCAAAAATAGGAGCTTATAATGAAAGTGCATCCTTAATCATAATGATAGTATTGTTACAGCAGAACAATAATAAAGGATTGTGTGAAATTCCACTTAGGTAATCTTGATAATGTCTCTATGTATAAGACAGTAGAATACACTGTATCAGTACTGTATAGGACAGAATTCCAATATAGTGGAGATGCTCAAAGTGAAAAACAGCATTTCAGAACTCCATTATACTGGTAGTTTCCTAATATAGGAAAAATGTTATACGCTAATGTAACTTTTACCACCAAACCTTTTAAAAGTATCTTATTAGATATGGAATACAATAATATAGTAATACCATCAATGAGAAGGGAGGTAGCATAAAAAGCTCTCCTACCTGATAGTGACTGTAGTGCCTTTTCAATAGAAGGCAATGGGTCCTTTCTGAGAGGTCGGCTGAGAGAAGCCTCCTGTGCACTGAAGAGTCCAGGGCCATCAGTTAACTTTTTACGTCCACTAGTGCTGGTAGAGTTAGTGACTCTGCAGCTGCCGATTGCACTTGTGAAAAGATTTGTGTGTTCATCACTGGTAGCTGGCTCAGAGCTAGGGGTAAATCCTCCCAAGGACAGACCTGCAGAGTTTTCAGAACAGTCTATCTGTAATGGTGTCTGTAATCCCAATGCTAATGAATTAGACTCTGAAGGCTCTCTCCTGACCCACTGTTCCTCTCTGCTTAGCAAACCCTTTGAAGGCGAAAGGTGTGGACAAGACATATGACATCTGTGTTTCTCTTTATGTTTGTATCTCTCACCAACAGCCTCCTTCCCAAATCTGTAGCGCTTCAAGGATTCCAGGACTGTTCTGGAAGAGCTGTTAGCTGTTATAGTGTCCATGGAAACCTGTGGTTGCTCTGAAGAACGATGTTCTCTATGTTTATGACGATGTCTGTGTTTATGTTCAAGCATCCAGCCATAAGCCATTTCAGGTGGAACACTGGGGTAGGTGCTCATAGAGAGGAGTGGAGTCCTGCTAGTTGTGAGGAAGGCTTCTTGACGTAGAAGCTTATGCTTCTTCTTGTGGTATTTGGCGGGATTAAGAAGCAAATGGCCTGTATGCATGTAAGAAGGTGGTGGCAATGGGGTAGTAAAAGAAGGAGAAGGTGGTGGAGGATAAAGAGTTGGAGGATACCTTCCATAATAACCTAATCCTATTGGAGTAGCTGCAAGGGGAGAAGGAGAATAAGGCATGCCATAAGAGGGATAGAATCCAGTACTGGAAAGAGGAAAACTAAGACTATGCATGAAAGGCATTTCTGCCATAGCCTCCCGCATCTTGGGGGGTCTGCCTCTCTTCTTCTTTAAATCAGGTTTTCGAATGTAGTGCAAAGGATCTAAAGGAAATGTTGGATGAGTATAGAAGCTATTGAAGTTTATCCTAAAAATGGTAGGCAGTAGGTCTCGGGGTATAAAATGATGACTTCTGTGGGTTATTCTAATTTCACTCAAACGACTTATTAGTTCCTCTAACTCAGCAAGGAAATCAGGGTCTTGCCTACCTCGGAGCTGAGGATATTTCTTTTTCCTTTTTCGCTTCTGTCTTTTCATTTTATCGTAGCTGAGGTAATCATGACCCCTGCGCTTACATTTATGTTTATGTTTTTCTTTTAGGCTACTTAAAACTGTTGAGGTTTCAGGGGAAATGAGGGAAACATGCTCAAATGAATGTCTTTTCTTCTTCTGCCCACAGAGTTTCTCTGCTCGGTCTGAAGTACTGTTATTATCTGTTCCTATTCCACTGTCACTGGGAACTGTCTCATCACTGTGAGACTCACTAATTGGTGAAGGAGTGGCTTCCTTCAGAGATGTCAGTTCACTTAAGTGAGAAGGAGAGTTCGGCAATAAAGTAGGAGGAGATAATCTCCTCCTTCCTTTGGAGGCCTTTTTCATTGCAAGGGTTTGAACTACACTTCCTTGTCTGGAGTGTAGATGTAAATATGGCACTGAACTGGGCTCAACAAATCCTGCATCACTGCTGACAGGGCTCTGTCCCCCACTTGCTGCAGAAGACTGAGAGCACACCGGAGATGGAAGAACCTCTGAATTATTAGCTGCTGAAGGCAGCAAAGGAGGAAGTACTTGTCCCAGAATTGTCCCAGCTGTTTGCTGGGTAGTATTCTCAAGAACAGTTAAACTGGCAGAATTACTAGTTAAAATACCATTTAGGACAGCTTTAGGTTTCCTACCTCTCCTCTTTCCTATGTAAATGGTTCCTTTCTTGCTGACATTTATCTGCTGGCCTAATTTTGAACCAAAAGTGGCAGCAAGGGTTGACACAGTATTGTGGAGTTTTGATTGCACTTTCCCTTTGTTATTTGGCTCCACTGTGCTAGAGAGGATTTGATTCAAAAGCTTTTTTCGCTTCAAAGTTTTCATTTTGTTTATTTTTCGGATAATTGTTTTCATTAATTGCCCATTACTTCTCTTGGTAACTTTTCTATCTGATTCTACCTCAACATCTCTCATGCTACACATAGTTTTCTGAGCTTCCTCTGGACCTCTGACCTGGTCCTTCCTCTCAAAAAAATCCCCACTACATTGCTGATCACTTTCAGATTCCATTTTGTTTGAATTATCTGTAGCAACAAAAGATGCCACAGACAGAATAGGTGGTTTCATTTTAACAGCTGATCTGATCTGTCTTTTAGGTCTCCCTCTCTTCTTCGGAAAAGTCTGTCCTGTTAAGTTTTGTTTTAGGGACGGAATTTCTATCTCTGGCTGCAGAACAGGAGGTTCTTGCTCTTCCTTTGACTGCACTGAGAAGACTTTTGATGCTGGAATTTTTAGGGTTCTCTTCGGGGGACCTTCCAGGTGGGGCATCTCCTTTGATTTAGGCCTTCCTCTTTTGGGCTTATAAATTTCTGGTAAAATGTCACCTGACACACACACACTGGAGGGCTGTTTGTGAGTACTATAGAATTTAGTCTGTTTGTCAGCTTCAGTTAACAGAGCAAGAGACGGTCCGCTGCTAGATTTGCTCAGTTTTGGCAACTGATGTTTGACAAATTCATGCTCTATAAATGAAGTTGACCCTATATTTTTCAAGAATTTAGCCTGCTCCAGACCACTGTTTGATAGTGCAGTGCATGAAATGTTTTTAAAAAGCTCTGACCTTTCTAATTCTAGACCCTTTGGAGGCTGACATATGTTTCTAGACACCACTTTAGTCCATCGTGGTTTCCTTCCTTTTTTTTCTTTAAAGATTTTGACTGAGTAGCACTCAGGTCCTCAGCTCCTTGGCAAGGTTTCCCTGATGCAGTTATTGCACCAATCTTTAGAAACTGTTTGGTATTAAACAAACTTGTGAAGCTAACCACTGAAGAGGTGACGGTAGCATGAACATTTGATTCAGTTGCCAGACTGGTTTTTTTCCCTATGGAGGGACTAGTTCTTGTGGTGTCTGTGTGTGTGGCTTTTGAATCATTTAATTCTTTATCCAAACCTTTAAAATCAGTGCTCAGACTGTGATTCAATGACCTGTTCAGATTCAGAAGTGTACTGTCCGAAGAAAACTGAGTCTTCCCAATCTGCTCAGAAATTCCTTCTAAGACATCTGTTGTGGTGGTACTTATATGTGATGGATTTGAAGCTAACTGAGAGGAAGTTGCTGTGGGGCTCCTGTTTAAGGTAGTAACAGACACTGTGGGTGAGGGTGATGGGAGGTTTCCCTCTCCAACAGCACTAAATGGGGACTTTGCTGTTGATACATCTGAAGCTCCTCCTGTTCTGAAGTCTGGTGAAGTGCAATATACTGGAAGCTGCTTTTCATGCTTAGATGTTTCATAAGTCCCCTTTTCATTGGATTGGAAACTGTCCTGCTGAATACAGGTTCCTTCATTAAATATTTCTTTGTCTATACCAGCAACCTCTTTTCGAAATGAAATCTTTTCCAAGATATTGTCTTTATTCTGTCTTATAATATGTTTCTCAAAAGTTTTACTGCTGATATTATCTTTCAATAATTCTGTTGTCTCATGGCTTTCAAGATTATTGAGGTTTGTACTGCAAGAAAGCTTGAAGGGCTCCGAGGCAGGACTGAGAGAATCAGCTTTCAGACTTCCAGAGTCCTTGTTCATCAATCCTGCTGAAGTGCCAATCCCCGGCAGTTTCTTCCCAGAGTCCTTGTTAACCAGTCCCACTGGGGTGCCAATCCCTAGCAGCTTCTTCCCAGAGTCTTTGTTAATCAATCCTGCTGGGGTGCTAATCCCCAGCAGCTTCTTCCCCGAATCCTTGTTTACCAATCCCACTGGGGTACCAATCCCCAGCAGCTTCTTCCCCGACTCCTTGTTAACCAATCCCACTGGAGTGCCAATCCCCAATGACTTCTTGACCAACTCCTTGTTAACCAATCCTGTTGGGTTGCCAATCCCTGGTGGTTTCTTCACAGAGTCCTTATTAACTAATCCAGCCACAGAGTTAGTCACTGGTTGTTTCTTCCCAGAGTCCTTGTTAATTAATCCAGATGGAGTGCCAATCCCTGGTGGCCTCTTTCCAGAGTCCTTGTTAATTAATCCAGCTAAAGAGCCAATCCCTGGTGGCTTCTTCCCAGAGTCTTTGTTAACCAATATGGCTGCAGTGCCAGTCCCCAGTGGCTTCTTCCCTGAGTCCTTGTTAACCAATCCAGCAGCAATGCTAGTTCCTGGCAATTTCTTTACTAAGTCCTTGTTAACCAGTCCAGCTGCAGTTCCAGTTCCTGGTAGCTTCTTCCCAGAGTTTTTAACCAACCCAGATGGAGTTCCACTTCCTGGCTTCTTCTGCTTTGTTTTGGAAGACTTTGAGGGGGGGCAAATTGCAATAAGTTGAGCCAATTTTTCTGTTACAGTTGTTGCTCCATTAATTTGTGCTCTATCCTTCAAGTCAGGATCACGGCTACCAACAAGAGTAGGAGGAGCTGACTTTATATAATCTGTCATTTCAGTGGGTAGTGGAGAAAACTTCTTAGATACAGGACTTGTTTCTCCTTGTATGTCTTCCTCAGCACGGAATTCAACTGTTGCAATTTCTCCAGCTTTCTTGCAAAACTTTGAAGGGTCCTAAAAGTTTAAATAAGACAAATACTTTAGAAACCAAGTAAAAACAAAAGTCAATTTTCTCTAATCATACTACCCTATAGTATGGAGTGCTTGATGTAATTGATCATTGATGTTTGATAAGGGATCACTGTGAATGAGATGTTGCATCTCAATGGACTGTATCATTTTTAAAAGTACACATTTCAGTGGACATATACAGGCTTTTATAAAACAACTATCACCCACACACCTTCACAACACCCAGTCCAAGTAATTTAATCTGTTCTACTGATTGGCGTGGTCATGGGCTTTCAGCACAGTAGACTGCTAACTGTGCTAAAATATACTGAACTGCATGGTGGTTTGTGCACTGGAAAAATGAGGACTAGAGTCTACCAAAATTATTTGCAGCTGTGGCTTAAACTATATTTGAAACCTAGTCTCTAGAGGTGAAAAGCTATGCTAATACAATAATCCATTACATCACTAAATGTTTTTTGGAGATGTTCCAGTAAATTAATCTTTTCCTTACAAAGGATTTTCATCTTTTATATACCGCTCCCAATAGAGATCCTAGAAATGCATGAGATGTATTAACTTCTATTGGGAGCTGGGGGAGGAACTGACACTCATTTTTTATCAAGTAATGAAGTAGAAAGTACAAGGTTTGAAGAAACTTACCTGACACCTATTGGCCCGAGGATTAAGCCTACTACCCATGTTGAAAAATATTGGTGCTACCATGCCCACCCAACACCATCCTCCCTGACATTTAAATTAATACAAAAGTTGTATACCGTTTATTTTTACTGTACTTAATTGACAATCAATTTTGTATTTAATAAATTTTACAAATCTAACTTGGGTTGGCCAAATAGCAGAAAAAATATTTGTTGAATATATTTAAATGTCACCATAATTCATTTAATATTATTTGATGAACAGGAGGTAACAAGCAATAGAGCTGCTCAAATACTGCAAAACAAAATTGTTGAGATATACCAGTGATGTTAATTGAGTAATTATAATACACCTCTACCCCGATATAATGCGACCCAATATAACACGAATTTGGATAGAACACGGTAAAGCAGCGCTCCGTGGGAGCGGGGCTGCGCGCTCCGGCAGATCAAAGCAAGTTCGATATAACGCGGTTTCACCTATAATGCGGTAAGATTTTTTGCCTCCCAAGGACAGCGTTATATCGGGGTAGAAGTGTATATTAGCAGGGTTCTTTTTGACCAGTTTTACTTACTTCAGTATTGTGCTTTTGCTAGACCTTCTTTCCCTTCCTGGCTTCACCCACTATTTTATGTAGTCTTGAGCAGCCAAAATTTTGATTAAAAAAGGAGTCTAAATTTAGGCTCCTATGTTCATGTAAAGTCAATGGGATTTGTGCTCCTAATTCACTTAAGCGCTTTTGAAAATCCCATAACTAAGGCACCTATATATGGACTTGGTGTCAGGAGTAAGGCCCTCAGCCGCACTTGCTCAGTACTCCTGACACCCTAATGAGCCAGCCAGGCTGCCTGATGGACCACCTTGCCTGACTGGCTGAGGAAGCCAGCAGGCAAGCTCTTAAACCTAGCAGCAGCAGCTACTTGCTGGCTGCTCAACGCACATACCCATGGGACTGTGCCTCCATAAGCTTGTCTCTCTGAGCCTGCTCCTGCTCCTCCACATCTCCAGCCCAGACCCTGTTCTGCACCCAGCCTTGCTCCTGCCTCAGAACCAGCTCTGCTTCTGCCGTCCCTGACTCCTGGTAATCCAGCTCTGACTCTGACTCCACCTCAACCCCTGGCTCTGGCATTCGGGCTCTGACTTCGGTCCTGACCCTTGACTCTGATTCCTGACTTCAACTCTGTCTTGCCCCTTGTCTCTGGCACTTGGACTCTGACCACTAGGCCTAACTGCCTATGACCCAGTCCACTGACACGTAGGAGTCTAATTTCTGGCTCCTATTTTCAAAAATGTTAGTCAATAGTCTATTTCCCCTTTTCCTTCTCTCTCTTTCTCCATTCCTCCTATAGCTCTCTTTCTTTCCCTTTTGTTAAGTTGTGGACTCTGACTCCTACCTGATATTTCATGTTTCTCCTTTCTTCTCCAATATCTCTTTACATGCTGCACTTCTCTTTTCTAATGTATCCCATCAATCTCTCCTCTTTTACACCCACCCATGCTCCCATATATAGGGCTTGGAAGTTTTACTAGACAGTGAAATATTTTGAGACCTCACTGTCTGGGACAAAACCAAACTGAGAAGCAATCCCTGCCGCCTTGAACTGCTGGGATAGGGAAATATACACCTCTACCCCGAGATAACGCGACCCGATATAACATGAATTCAAATATAACGCGGTAAAGCAGTGCTCCGGGGGGGAGGGTGGCTGCTGCGCTCCGGCGGATCAAAGCAAGTTCGATATAACGTGGTTTCACTTATAACGCGGTAAGATTTTTTGGCTCCCAGGGACAGCGTTATATCGGGGTAGAGGTGTACTAGAAATCTTGTCCTGGGACCCTGCTCAGTTTGCCCCATATTTTGTAAAAGTCTTTGGCTAGCAAGAGTGATAAACTGGAAGGTCTCCCCTCGCAAACCCTCTGACTGTCATAAGGGAGAAAGTGCACATTCTCACTCTCTATACATGCCTGTGTCCCTCCTTCAAACCCAGGGCTTCTTGTTTTCTTCAGAAAGGTGCCTCAGCTACTCTACCCTTTTCCCAACTCTCTCTTGTAGGTCCTGCTCCTCAGTGAATAGTTCCAGCGCCTGCCTCTACTGTGGTTCAACTCAGAGCACTGTAGCAAAATGTATTTGATTCTTGTCAGTTTCACAAAACTGGAATATTTTCCAAAAAGGATCTGAACAGCAGCAGTGAAAATGGAGACGGTTGATCAATTTTCATTTTGTTGCAGGTTGGAAAGCTCTGAGCAGCAGCAGATACTTCATGTGTCTGTTGGCAGATTTAGGAAAACAGCACTGCACTTAGTTTACCCTCAGGTCACATTTGAAAAGTGGTTTCAAACTGTAAGAACTCAAACTGTCCTCTTCAAGTCATGCACTAATTTGGACCAAGTCCCAAAGCATGTGCACAGGTTTTGATTGCCTGCAATATATTCTTGGAGAAAGGTGCAGATCAAACTAGTCTTCGATGGGAGGGGAGGTCAAGATCTTGAAACTTTGTTATTAAACTAGCATAGATTTTGCAGAAATTGATGGCACTCATCCTGAAAAGCTTCTTCCTCATCGTGAGTGCGTATTTCAAGCCCATAGAAAATAATTGTCAAACATTGGGTGGTGGGGGGGAATAAACTGAAACTGCTGCTGAATTAAAGACAAGAGGTTGGAAGAAACCTGTATTTTTGCCTGCAACTCCAGAAACCAGCCCTCTGTCCTAGTTTGGAAACCAAGTATTTTGAAGTATCAGAGGGGTAGCCGTGTTTGTTGCTTTTTACAGATCCAGACTGAGAGTCCTGTGGCACCTTTAAGACTAACAGATGTATCGGAGCATAAGCTTTCGTGGGTGCATGCATGCATCCGACGAAGTGGGCATTCACACACGAAAGCTTATGCTCTAACACATCTGTTAGTCTTAAAGGTGCCACAGGACTCTCTGTTCCAAGTATTTTGAATTTTACAGTTAAAAAAAAATTCACTTAATCACAGGTACGTTAACAGAAAATATCTGGTTTAACATACACTTTTTGGGAACCAATTTCATTTTGTTAATTGGATATAAAATAAAACAAATCCAGTTAATAGAGACATCTTGGTATAGAGAACATTTTGTCTCCCTAGGAGATTTCTATATCAATAGACTGCTAGTGTAGTTACAAATCCATTATGAAAGGCAACATTTATAACCTGGATCAACAGAACAGCTCTTTGTTTACCCTATTCTCTGGAATGTTAAATAATTGACCACTGGTGACATCAAGTGATTTATCTAAATAAAAATAAATCACTCACATGCTATTGTCTGACTGATTAACTTGCTGAACCATGTAAACGGTCAACTGAACTGCAAAGACAGTATTTCACCACCTTTCCCCATTATCAATTACTTAAGAGCTCAGCCAATCAAAATATATTTAATGCCTGAAGCTATTTTACTGCAACAAGAGTGTCTGGTGTTCAAATAAAGGTAGGATTTTAAAAAATTAAATAATTCTGATAATTTAAAAAAGTGATTTCTAAAATGTTCCTAGATGAACCTGGGAATACTGCTGAAGTAATAAGGCTTTTCACTTCACAGATCTCTCAACATCAAAGGGAGTCCTACTTCTGCTTATAAACATATACCATTACAAAGGTTTAAACAATTATCTATTTTTATGATTGTTTTAGTCTCTCATAACTCATTACTTGTTTCACAGCACCCAAAAGTGTGGTAAATTGCTTTCCTAACACATAAAAACACATGAGTCCTGCCCTGAAGTGCTTATAATTTGACTAAAGATGAAGAACAAGGGTATGGAGAATGAGAGAGGAGGACAAGGGTTGTAATAGCAAGATTGTATGATTGCATAGCAAGTATTGCAACCATCTTAATGAATTTAACGTTGTCTTCTTTGAAGATGTGTTTTAAACTGTTTAATTTATATTACAAAAGTTAGGAGTTTGTGTGTGAGCACTTGGGGTTGAAGTGTGAGAGGGGAGTGGTGGGAAGGAGAAGTTGCAGGAGTGAGAGACAGGAGTGCCTAAAGGGAAGCTGAGTGAGAGGGAGGTGGAAATGGAAAAGGAGGAAGGGAAGATTAATAAGAAACACAATAGATAAGAGATAGTGAGGATGGGCAGCTGAAGGGTCACAGTGATAGGAGAGGGGTGATGTAAAGGTGGACCAGCCACCAGTGTCAATACAACAAATGTGAAAAAGCATCCTGAGTCCAAGATCTGGTAGCATCAGTGGCTAGGACATTTTTAACCCTAACTGCTTCTGGACTGGACAGTCCAACCGCCTTCCCGTTAGCTACAGCTCCCTCATTTTAGAAGAGGGGACTGTTGGCAAGCTGCTGACAGCCCTTTGACCCTGGAATTCAAAAGTGATGCATATAGCTGATAATAACTGGAGCACTAGGTATTTTATTATTTTCAAATACTTTCTCCAACCAAAGGCTTTGGTCTTTATCATTACCTAAAATATACAGATAATCTTTGGAGGTACAATTAGAGTTTCTGATCTTCCTGGAATGTTGCAGACTTTAACCTTTTAACTGCCCATCAATACTAAACCAAAGAAACTAGACTCATTTACCACTTCCTCCCACCTCTTGGTTGCAGACCTATCTTCAAACTGCCTCTCAGGCTGTGTCTACATTGATAATTTAGGTGTCTTCCACTATTAATCTGGCATCAGTCCAACTCCAACAGTTCTAGCAATGGTGTGAATGCTAGTATAGACAAATAACCATGTCATCAAACATTGCTCAGAGTAAGTCAGATAACATGGCAGTACATACGTCTGTGGCCAGCCTACATTACAGTTTAGATCCTTGCTAGTACCTGTGCTAGATCAAGGGTGGGAGAATTGTCTCAAAATCTCTGCATAGACTAGGCCCCAGTAGCTGAATGTCACTTTACACAATGCTCACTGCCCTGCTGGCCCAAGGAGTGACTCCAGAAATCAAACAATCTTCCACAAAGCGGTGATGTGTTCTCGATTAAAGTCCTTTCTAAAGCAAAAACCTGTTGGGTCAGATCCCTCTAGGCCAGAGGTGGGCAAACTACGGCCCGCGGGACTGTCCTGCCCGGCCCTTGAGCTCCGGCCGGGGAAGCTAGCCCCCGGCCCCTCCCCTGCTGTTCCCCCACCCCACAGCCATGCGGGCAGCGCTCTGGGTAGCGGGGTTGCGCGCTCCTGCGGAGCAGAGCGGCAGTGTGTCTAGCTCCGTCCAGGCGTCACGGCTGCCAAACATGCTGCTCTGAGCGGCACGGTAAGGGGGCCGGGGGTTGGATAAGGAGTGGGGGGTCCCACAGGGCAGTCAGGGGACCGGGGGTGGTTGGATGGGGTGGTTTGGGGGGGCCATCAGGGGACGGGGAACAGGGGGGTTGCATAAGCATGGGAGTCCCAGTGGGCCTGTCAGGGGTGTGGATAGGGGTCGGGGCAGTCAGGGGACTGGGAGCAGGGGGGTTGGATAGGGGGTGGAGTCTTGGGGGGCGGTTGGGGCAGGGGGTCCCAGGAGGGGGTGGTTAGGGGACAAGGAGCAGGGGGGGTTGGATGGGTCAGGGGTTCTGAGGGGAGCGGGAAGTGGGAGGGGGCAGATAGGGGATGGGGCCAGTCTGTTTGGGGAGGCACAGCGTTCCCTACCTGGCCCTCCATACAGTTTTGCAATCCCAATGTGGCCCTTGGGCCAAAAAGTTTGCCCGGCCCTGCTGTTTCAAAGGGTTGATGCCTCCAGGTACTTCTCAGTTGTTTGCTTTGGAAGCTACTAGTGCTAGAGGGATTTTGTAATATGGAGAACAGTTTGGCATTGAGCCCAGCTTTTCCATGGCAGCTGCAATCTTATGTAAATTGTACTGGGGCTTCACATTTCAGAGGAGCTTTTTTCCTTTGCACACACAAAACAGACAGCTGTGGGGGCAGCCATGATCTGTCCTACAGCCTGGAGACTAAACAAGATGCCACTCTTATTTCCCAAAATAACATAGCGTGGAACCATATGCTCCCTTAAATGGAAAAGGAGTAATCCAAAGCTCACTTCTCTTGGGTTGACCAACCACAAGGTAGCAGGGTGTGCTTTCAATGAGCAAAAACATTTTAATGGTGCAATAGTTTGTTCGGCGAAGTTAGTCAGCCCTATAGATATATATCCAGACTA